ACTCAAGGTCTCCCCCCCCCCTCCCTGCTTCATTTCCTCCCCAGTCTGGTCTCTCCTTTTCACGTATTGCTACTCTCCTTGCTGAATCTCTCTTTCTCTTTCTATCGCTGCTGATTCTGATTCCTGATCCCGACTAATTCCCCCCTTCCTGTCTGTTCCTTTGGTCCCTCAATCTCTAGATCACTCTTTCCTCTCTCTCTCTCTCTCTCTCTCTCTCTCTCTCTCTCTGACTAGCTCTGGCAGCTCGGGGCCAGATTAATGCCGATCACACGGTGAGGAGGATGGAAAGTCTCCTCTACAGTATGCTTGTGTGGGATTGAAAGATGGAAATGGTGGGTGGTAATATCTCTCAATACTCTCCATCTGTGAACACGTATTGAGGCCATGGTGCCAGCATTTTGGGGTTTTCCTTCGTCAGTGGAGAGCAAGCAATATAAATGCAAATTATCTTGTGGTTGTCTAATGCAGAGCAATGTAAAAACAGGCAAAGACAAATAAACTGAGAGAGAAAAAAGATGAAGATTAGGAATAAAAGAGTAGTTGAGAGACAAGTTTAGGGAGGGGAAGAGAATTAAACTTCCACTTCCCAGGATCCAGAAATTAAATTGGAATTAAAATGCACAAACCCACATGCATATACAAACAATCATATGCAGTCATGTACATATGTTTGAATGCAGATTAATTTGTGCGCACACGTTACAAAATGTGTCTTTCTCCTCTTCTTTTTCTGTCTCTCTCTACAAGTGATGTGTTGTTAGTGAATGAGTCGTCTCCTGTTAGTGAACGATGGGAGCCAGCTCCAGTCCAACATCTTTCTTTCTTTCTTTCTCTTTTATAAATTAAGCTCATATAAGACAGACTGATGATCTGATAACATATTTGATACAGAAACATTGCACTTTGGTAATAACATTAAGATCTAAGTAGTGTTGCACTGGTCACAAACATATAAAACACACCAATACCCATGTAAAAGTTTTTGATGTTTTACGTTATTTAAGGTATTTATGCCAAGTGTAATGTAAAATTATGGCATTCTGGAAACTATAAGGTTTAGTATAGGTACACTGTGATATATGAGCTTACACAGAACAATCATAGGTCAAAACATTGCTTAAAAGAGCCAGTGTTCCCATCAGTACTCTTTACTGTCAAAAAAAAAAGTAAAACAAGATGAGTTATGAAATGTTTGTTTAAACATGAATAAAGGGTCTTGTCTGATCTAATTGCACTGAAATTATCATGTGATTCTGCGTACATTTGCCTTATTCTGACATAACTCAATATTAGAAAAATATAATTATCTATTTCATGATATTGACTTGCACAACCCTAAAATATACACTGTTGACAGATGATGGATGGTGATTCATTTAAACATACATTTAAAGTTTCTTATTAGGATATAGGCTAATATTTGGTTTATAGCAGGACTGATTTAAAGAGCTAAGTTTCCATTTCATTAGTTTTTGTTAATTAGTTGGCACAATTAAAACCTCCTGGTCTTGCAAATGAATCAGTTTCAGTATTTGATTGACTTAACTCTTATCGTGCTTTAACACATTGAATGCTAATGTAAAAAACATTCAAAAACTACTGCTTCCCCTTTTTTCAGTTGTCCACAGACTTAACAGTATTCATGAATTCTTCACAAACTGCACCCCCAATTATCCGCTCATTCTGTCACAAGCAAGTCGTTAATTAGCCTATCATTAAGGTGATAAATGGTCATCTGCCACTTCAGGGGCAAAATCATTTGTTTACCATCTTAAAGCCTCTAATCAACTGCAGATTAGAGGACATGATCACAGGACACACACACACAAACGCTCTCACTGCGTCTTTGATGAGACACAGAAATCCACATATGCATACCCACAATATCAGCACTCACATCGTTTTCATTGCACAGACACACCCCTGCACAAATGTGTGTGCATGCATACACACCTGCACAAACAATAAGAGGCATTGATAAGTTCATCTCTTTTTAACCATCCAGAGATTGTAGATTGTAGATGGATAATTAATAATGAAAAGGCAACAAACAGTGGTAAAAGGAAAAGGATGCTCTAGAGAGAGACACAGAATGTCTTTAAATAAAAACCACACATAGCCGAGTAGAAGATCCCATCTGTCTCAGTCGAAGCTGCCTCCAGGCTCTGCTTCAGTATCAGCTTTCCCAGAACTCCCACCATGAAGGCCCGACCACAAAAGCTACAGAGACTGAAGCCTGCAGGTCTGAACTTCAAAGTCAGAGTCCAAACTGAAGCATTCACACTTGTTGAACTACATTTACTGCAGCGGTGCACCCCATGTGTTTCTCAGCACGTCTTTCAAACAACTGTATCTCTCTCAAATCAATGTCTGAGCAACGTTAAAGCACTGTACTTTCTTTTTATACTCTGTATTTTACATACACTGCAGAAGTGTATTGCTCTATGCATTTGTATAAAATGATTTCCCTGAAGGCATCACAGAAACTAACTCCACTTTAAGACACAGGGGGAGACAGAGAGAGATGATTCATCGATGAGACTTGATAAGCACATTCCTCCTGTTGACCACACATGTTGGAGTTTCCAGGAGTGACAGTGTGTCAGTGACACTGCAGAGGTATGTGTGAGGAATGTCAGAGCTGACACGATTACACACCTTTACATTTTAAAAAAGTATTGTAACTTATTACAAAAAAAAAATCCAAACCAGCGCAGAAACCAGCTGCTTGATGTTTTCTTGCTGCCTTGCTAGAAACATAATATCCTCTTGTGAGACAGTAAAGATCTGAACTGAACCAAACCTGCAACCTTTATGTGTAAATTAAGATTAGGACACACAAATGTCTATAGGGTTTATATCGGATTGCATTGGATGCACACATTGTAATCAGATGGGTTTATATAAATGCTATTTAGTGAAACACCAGATTGCAAAAGTCACTATTGAGCGCAGAGAACTCCTCTGAAATTACAGGACAACTGTCAATAGAGGAGATCCTTAAATTCATCATCATGAGAAATACTGTAACCAAAATAAATGAATTGCTTTTCCTACGCGCGCACAGATGCTGTGCACACAGAGGTGAGGAACATCTTCACCCACAACATTTTTTTTACAACAATTTCCTCTAACACAAGCTGAAGAAACACTAGAGATAACGGGATTTGCGCTTTACCCCTGCCTTCATTCAGGTCCGATGCTGAATGAACCGAGGGCAGATGTGCAGGAGAGGATGGTGTGATTCATTCACTAACACCTCCCCTCAAACGACATTCCTCAGATTTTATGAATGATCTTGCGGAGGAATGAAAACAGCCACTAAAACCCTAAACCCTGCTATTTATTTAGCCTGTTTTTCCAGATGTGGTGAGTTTCGCTGCTCTGGATCAGATCTTGCCGCGGTTACGCACCGCTGCAGCGCACAGAAGCTCTCCATTCACACCGAGGGGGGTACTCCTCCAAACAGCAAAAAAACAAAACAAAACAAAACAAGTAAAAAGAGTGGCAGGGAGCAAGGTACTTACAGCTGTAGCAACTGGAGACAGCTCCATGAGCCGGTGCGGGCTGATGGAGCTGATGGAGCTGATGTTCCAGGGTGCCCGGGCTGTCGGATCCGGTCTAATCAGCAGTCTAGAATCCATTCAGGCGGTCCACGGCGGTTAATGAAAAGCGGTTGTGTGAGACAAGCGGACCGGAGAGGTGTGGAGTGTCGATGAGGTGGTCTAGGAGTCCAAGTGGCCCGTCATCATCGCCGCCCTGCTCTCATACCTTACTCTGGCAGGGCTACTGGTAGTTCAGCTGCTGTGGAGGGGTAGGAAAGAATCTCTCTCTCTCTCTCTCTCTCTCTCTCTCTCTCTTTCTCTCTCTTTCTCTCTATCTATCTATCCCTCCCCCTGTCCAATCCCAGCTCCAGGGATGCCTCTGAGTGTGTCAGTATGCATAGATATAAATGACCATTTTTCTGTTTGTTTATTTAACTTAAATGAATCATCAATGGAGCTATTTTTCCTCTCATATCTCATGTCCTTTTCTATGTCTTCTTCTCCCTGTCCTGCACAGTTTCAGTGATATGCTCTATTCGCTGCAAATGAAAAGGAAAAGAAAGGGGTTTAAATTATTAACATTATCATGCAAAGAAGGATCAAAACAATCTGTCTCCCACAGATTTTTCCAGCCCCAGTGCAGCTCACAGAAGTCCTTCACACATTTACATATGAAATCTATATTTATTGCATTGTAGAGACTTGACTCAGACCACTGAAGCGTGTTTCATTAGGGAAGGGAGAAGCCTTGGTTTTTGAGTGCATTTTGAGGTCGATGTTGCAGTAGGCCTTAAACCTGCTGCCGCAAAGACTAAAGAAGGATTGGAGGAATGAGTACATAATGGAAGGATTACAAAATATTTGTTTTTTGTGGTTGATTTGAGCAGATATTCAGTTTGCGTGAGTAATGTTTTAATCCTAAAGAAAGGAAGAATGGAGAATACAGACAAAAGATTGAGTGAGGTATAAAAGGAAACATGAAGACTTAAAGGGAAATTTAAAGAGAATCTGATTCTCATAATCATGGAGGCTACAGGAGGCTGTGGTTAGTTTTGGTCAAACTCGGAAACAAACAATATATGTTGTTTTTCCTGAGTCACGTTTCCCAAATCTTTTTGAAGGAGATGGCGAGTGCAAAGTTATCTGTATAATGAGAATATGACCCAGCAATAACTGGGTAACTCTCTTTGGCCACTTGGCAAACATAGCAAACATTTATCTAGGCAGATATGGAACAACATAGCAGTCATTTGGAGTCGTGTTTTCGGAGACCTGATGAAGTCCAACATTCATTCGCTTTTTTTTTTGTTCTGCACCAACTCCTGAGGGAAATATCTGGCTTTTTAACTGCTAAATGCTCCACTGATCACCAGCTTGTTGCTAATTTTGTCTGTCTGCCAGTTGGTGTTGAGCAGGTTTTTAGGTCACTCAAAACTACTGCCAGCCAAAATGGGTAGTATGAGAGAGGTGAAAGTGAACCAAAACAGTAAAGTTTTGGGACGGAAAAACCAAAACAATAAGCTAAAAGATGCTAAAGCTCCATAGAGCTGAGGGTAGCTGCAGAGTTTACTGTGACACGTTTAACATACAAATAGTTGTGTCCATATAAAAATAGATTTTTATATTATCTTTTAATCTAGAAACGTTAAAATATTTTACTGCTAAAATGAAAAAATTATATAACTTCTTCTCTATAAGAAAATCACATGTATGCATCTGAATGTATCCCAGGTTAATGTTTATTTTAGTGCTGCCACAGGACAGACTCACAGACACAGCTTTGATAAAGATCAGAGATGTACTAATGTGTGCATACCAGTAACTGCACCAATTTCCCTGTCTCATGATTTCTGGAGAGGGTGCAATATTAGCTGAGCTACACAGACCAAGAGAGAGAGAGAAAGAGAAAGAGAGACCTGTAGCAGGAACATGTTTGTTTGTCACTCTAATGGCTCCCGGGTGAACTATAAAGCATGCCTTTCATTTCTAGACATCCAAGATGACATTTAGCCAGGAGCAGTCTACCATGTGGATGGAGAGAACGGTGGAGAGGCTGAATGATAGATTGGGAATAATGGCTGATTGTGAACAGCAGAAGAAGGATGTTGAGGAATTTAGGCATGACCATGTTCCCATTTTTTTTTATTCTACAAAGAATCACAAGGTCTTATGATGCCTCTCCTAGCTTCCCTAACCTCCTTTCGTTCTCCTCATTCCCTAGCGCTCTCTTGCCTTTGGGCTTATATTAGGTTTGTGTACACTAAGACACTCTAGCCCCTGCCCCCATAACCCATTTTACCATTTATATAACACCCTATTCTGTAGTCTTCAATTTCAACAATAATATGTTTCTAATGCTCTCTACAGCACAACTGCCTCTTCAAGTCGCTTAAACTCAATCAAGTCAACCCACCTCTGGAATGCTAAGTGTTGATCCAGTATGAGGAAATTCCGGGAGACAGCAGATCAAATTTAACTCGGTGGGAATTTAACTCTTTGCCCGGTAGAAAAATGTGATCAGTTATCAGAAAGGTGAGTGACAGGATGTGCAGAGGGTATCCACCTTTTCCAGGCTCCATGCTTTTCTGCATGTTTGCCTCTTTTATAGCACCGTACTAAATCATTGATTTACTTTCAACAATTTCTCCGCCACCAAATATCCACACGCATGCACACTGCATGTGAGTTTAGGTTTGCAACATGTTTAAACGTTTAACTTCTATCCTCTTCCCATCTCACTAAACTCTCTAACAAACAAACACATCCTTCCTGCATTGGTGTTGTGTATTTTGATTTTGTGTGTAAAGTGTGTGTGTGTTTGTATTTTCAAGCAACGCAGCCCTCTGGCAGCTGCGAGACCCACAGCGTAACTGGTCCCATGATGGGGAGTTCTGGCTGATATTAAGCGGATCAGAATCGGGGTCTGGACTTATACAACAGTAGCATTATATAAACAACACAACTAATACAAAGAACAAAACAATACCACACTGTGTAGTGTGATCCCCCTCGTCCTTCCTCCCTCTGTCGTACTTATTCCTGTTTAGGTTAAGTCAGGTTATTTTTCTTTCCAGGGTCCTATGCCGTTCTTGCAGCAGGTCAGAGTTGAGAATAAAGATCATTAGCTTCAAATCCAGTGACCCAATTTTATGTCAGACGAGCTGATGTAAGCAGGACATTGCAAACGTGTTTGTTTGTTGTTGTACGTGTCAATAAACAATAACAACTAAATGAGTCTATAAAGAAACATTCAGAGAAAGTCAATTGTAACACAGTCATACATAAACATATCAGTACAAATATTTCTACTAATGCAGGAATACCAATAAATTAAAGCATAAACATCAGCCTGTAGCAATAACTCCGTTGATTTATTTCTTTTAATGGTAACTATAAATAATGAAGGTTGTTGATTGTAACTGTGGTTCTATGAGCACAGATAGATTTAGCCTCTATGGGCTTGCCTACTCACTCATCTGGAGGGCATTGAAATTTGGATGAATTTGTAAAAAATAAAATACTTTTTTTTAAGGCAGGAAAGGCATAGAAGTAACTAGCAACACTAAAAATGCCCCAAAACATTAAACACCCACTGAAAATCTTTTTGACTGCAGTTTCATATCCCACCTTGTTGCAGTGATGTAGAAGTGTACTCCAGGGTGTGTCATTACACCACTGCTGACCAAACCTGACGGCGATGCTGGGTGTGACATGAGATGCTACGGATTTGAAACTTTCAACCAGAGAGTGCAGTGAAAATCAGCTTTTTAGTCTGATATTAAAGGTTCAGTGTGTAACATTTAGGAGGATCTATTGGCAGATATGGAATATAATAGGCATGTGTATGTTTTCATTAGTGTATAATCACCTTACAATCAGCCTTATATCTGCAGACACTGCGGGTTGCCTTCCATGTTTCTACAGTAGCCCACGTTTGGAAGGGAAGGGTAAAGCGATCAGCAACTACATCGCCAGATTTAGGATTTTAGGATGTTATTTGATGCAGAACATCAGCTACTCTTTGTGGGGTCCACACAAAAGATAAAAACATGAGAACAGATAAGATACTTGGACCTTTAAGTTACTCTGTACGTGTTCAAGTGAGCCACGTCAGTGAGCCAAGCATTCACAGTACAAAGGACCTGGATCTGGAGCAGAGAAAGGTCTATAACACTTCAAAATCAGATAAAACAATAAAACAATTGACTTAATTTTATAATATTTATTTGTACTGTCAGAACAAAATACCTAATAATAATTATCAATCAGGAATCTTTCTGTGAATTCCAGAACTAAGTTAGTGCCACTTAAAATTACAAGAAAAAGTATTTTTTAACCTAAATAACTGAGTTTGTGTTATTTAAAGATTTTGAGGCAATCAGTTTCAACTGACAGGTTGCCGAAGAACCATTTGCCAGAGTCACGGAACCTCAAAACTGCCCAGCTATGACTATGTAGTTCTGCAGACAATACAATAGAGCTGATTGATTGGTAGATGCTTTTCTCTCTCCAAGAGAAGAGCCATCAAATGGAGGAATGAAAAAGCTTTCACGGCAATGACATTTGCGAAGAGGGAGGACCGCAGGGGACAACAAGCCACTTCCGTCTGACACAACTGAGCCACAATTAGGCTCATAATGGCTAGTGGTGGTCTACTTTTTTGACATGTTGGAACTGGTGTTTTAATGCAGGATATCTGGAGAGCTTCAAGAACAAGTAGTGTCTCTGAAGCCTGGAAAAGCTTCCTAAATCTTTCAACAGCAAGACAGAGCCCCCCTACTCCTCCCACATTTTGCTTGTTGATTTAAAATTCCACTATCAAGCTGTCAGTCCTTAACAAACACATCCTTGCCATTCAGGAGATACTGCAAGTTGGGGCAAACACACTACTGCATCAATCTCCAGCAAATCTATGTGGCAAAAAGATGAAAGTAAGCACCGTAAAAGTATTCTGTCGGGGTAAACAAGATGTCCAGTTGCAATCTGGCTTTATGGACTTTACTTTCCAGGAAATAACAGGAATGGAGTTCTTTCTCTCTGTTTCTCCCTGAGGAACAGTTTCTGTCCTTCATTAAAGAGAACAGAACTATTTTTTACATAAGCAGGGGTCATGTCAACTTCGTCTGATCTTTTGTTTAAAGGAGACAACAAACACGTGGACTGTAGTCAACAGTGAAAGTTGAAAGTTTCTAATGTGACAGATGAGGTTAGTGTCATTTCAGACAAGATGACTGACATTTAAAAAGTCTGCCTGGGTGTGGGACAGCAGGTCAGACTGTGGCCCTGGTATCACAAATTTCCCAGAAACCACATCTGGGGTCAGTACAGTTATAACTCAACGCAAATAATGAATGAGGACATAACAACCAGAGAGCTAGAAAGACAGGGGTACATTGAAAAATACAGTTCAGAAAATATAGTTTGAGAAAGTACATTTGTCTCCAAAATTTGTGAAACAGTAAACTATAGCGTGCTGAGAGCCACTGTTACTTTAAACAAAAAGCTGGTTTTGGTGGGCAGAAAATTTGCCAGCAGAGTTCTATTATGATTTGTTAATTAACAAGCTGACCACAATTGAGCGCATACTCAACTCTAGTATCCGGTGCAGATAAGAGTGTGAGTATTTCATTTATAAAACTGTAAATAAGGGTTAGTAGTAGGTAGTAAAGGAACAAAAATCAAAGTGTATGTTAGTAAATCAATGAACATAAATGAATTTAAAAAAGATCTCTTCGTAAAGTTACAATTTAGACATGAGCTCTACTGCAGGTTTAATCTTGAAGTTAAGGATTAAAGCTCAAACATTAGGTTAATAAATACCTTTGTAAGTTACAGTTTTGCTATCCTATCCAAACACCGACGAGAAGGGGCAACTGGTAGCTCACCTGGTAGGCTGTAGTCAGCACAGTGTAGAATTGGAAAATTTGAGATTTTGGCATCCCCTAGTGGTGTTATCAAAAATGACACCTTCCTTCATAAACAACCTAGGGACACTAAAAGCAAGTAATAGACTGTGCCAATTGTCACCAGGTTGTCTAATTTGTCCACAAACACTTAAACCATCAGAATCATTTAAAACATACCCCTATTAAAAGGTCTATATGTAGTGGCTTTAAGAGCTGAAAATATAGCACTAAAATCACTGAGCATAAGCAGTCACACATACTGACTGTACATATTGTGACAAAATACGCTGTGAGATATGCCCTCAAGCAACGCAGCTTTTTTGGTGCATAATTTTACCTAGACACAGACATACAGGCAGAAACACTTGAGGGCATCCAGTCCAGCAGATACTACAGGTGTCATGTCAGTTAGTGATTGGACCAGACAGTAATTTGTAGTTTCTTTCACTTCCCTCTACCTCTCCTCTACCTGGCAGTCATGTAAATACATCTGTGAAAGAGCTGGGAGGCTGTTTAGTTGTCAGACAGAACAAGGATAAAGAAAGCTGACAGATGCACACAAATAACGCCACAGATGCGAATGAAGGCACACACATGCAATTTACATGCATTATAGGCTGCACAAACAATAGGGCAGAGAAAGTGAAAACGTATGCCCCTTTAAGCATGTGCATGCTTGCAAAATGTATTTCACTGTGCCAGAAGGTATGGAAAATGGAATTGGAAGTCCAGTTAGCGAGTCCAGTAAAACCTCAGCAGCCTCCATACTGCAACAAAGCAGGGAGGAATTCAATAGTTTGATGATCTCCTGGGATGCTCGGTGGAAGATCCTGGGGTTATAAGATGTTTCTCTTCTCAACCAGCATGTTGTTGGAGGACGCAGGAGAGCTCAACCCCTAATCACCAAGCTGACCTTCCTTGTTGAGCATGTTGGTGTTTGTCATCCGCACGCTCTGTCCCCAGAACACCGGCAAACATAAAAGATAGCACTGGGCACTGTAGAACATCTGTAGCTTCTTGTTTGCAGACGTTGAGACCTCTGAGCCAGGAGCTACAGCCGGCTCTGGCCCTTCTTGTACTGAGCCCCTGTGTTCCCAGGCCAAGAGATCTTTTAAGATCTTTTTTAGTAGGAAGAACAATAGCAACTTCCTTTTAAGGTTCCAGAAAGTACAAAGGAATTTCCTAATGGGGGGATGCTTAGATCTTTTAGCACTTTCAATATAGGGCAAGAAAACACCTTCCAAGATATCACTGACATATTGTAATACCCCTTTAGTAGTGATATATTGACCAATGTGAGGCCCTTATTATTCAATCAATCAATCATATACACATTATTATAGTTTAATTATATTACAAACGTTCAATCTTAGACTATCCTTTGGTTCAGTAACCTTCAATCAATTCCACCTGTTTGTTCATGTTTTAAAATTGACACAACTGTCGGGCAAACAGACCAGGCAAAGTGAGCTGAAGAGTAAACATTTGATTATAAAATAATTGAATTATACCATTGAGGGAGGGGTTTGCTTCCTTATTTTTTTAACAGCTAAGATCAATGACATTTTACTAATTTGCTGAAAAATATTCATATATTAAAACAAGATAATCCTCCCTGCTGTATTTGTTGACATTTAACCTCCTGGGTGGTTTGCCATTTAAATGACAACAAGAGTGATCTGGTTAAAGTATTGTACACATTATGCTCATTTCAAAACCAGCTTTAGGGAGGATTTTCACAAAGCGACCACTGTAGTTTACTAATGTCCAAAGTAAGCACGCCACTGTTTGACTCCAGGGAGCAGGATTAACATAATTATTAGGACAGATGAAATGGAATTATTAGTGTCTTACTGGTCATGCTGGCATACTGATATTAGAGGTAGCAGCTATTAAAACACAGATTTTTAGTGTATTCTGTCAGTACACTGAGTTATATTACATTACCTTTAGAAAATAAGAAAATGTACTGTACCAACTCATATTTACTACAACATTAACCAGCATCTGTGTGTGTGTTCCTATTAATATGGTTGCATAAGGGAGCTGGCAGAGGCTGCAGGTTGAACCTGACACTAGTAAGCTGCTCTGGGACCTGGAATTGCTCCAGAAAAACCAGTTCAACAACATGGAAGCACTGATGCGAGTTTCTAGGACATGATATTTCACAGACGGATTTATTTGTTGTCCTTGCTGTCCATGTGATTGCTCTACTGTCTCTGTTGTAAAGTCAAATATACTTATATTATGGGACTATGTCTTTGTTGCAACAGAAAATATATAACTTGCCATAAACAGTGTGACAATGGAAACGAAAACACACAAATATTCATGAACACAATGATACAAAAATCAAAACCAGTAAAAGATATATTGACATGCTTTGCCATTTTCAGCATACTTTTCATTTATTTGGCAAAAAATAAATAATAATAATAATTTGCCTAAACAAAATTATGGCTACATTACTGATGCTGTAGTAGATAAGTCTGCATATCTGTTGGTAAGTGCATGGCCTATTTCAAATGAACTAAACAATACAGGTCTCTACTCTGAACACTGTACATTGTTGTGTTTAGTTTAACTCCTTCTAACATTTGAGAACTTCACTATGATGCACCACACCACTGACATCTTGCTGATTGCACAATTGGAGGAAGCAAAAATGTTAGAGACAACAACAGCACTAGCTACAGTTGTCAGCTGTTACCCATGGACAACAAGATTAAACCCATCAGAAGCCTTTTCTGTTAATTGTGCTCTTCAGCAAACATGAAGAAAGCTAGACCTGTAAGTTAGTTGTTAGTTACTGGTGCACTGAACCAGTGAAACCAAGTACTACATATCCTATTGGTCTTGTTGGCACATGATGAGGGAGGGAGTTGCTGTGACAAAAATCAACAGAAGTATGAGCTACAGTACATTTGTGCACTGTCAACAAGAAGAGATCACATAACAAGGAGATAAAAACCCTTTAGGAGCCTTTTCTGTTAATCCTGCTCTTCAGAAAACATGAAGAAAGCTACATCTGTCAAAGGTGAGTTCATTAAGTAATTCTAATAGTGTGAATGAAAGATTTATGATTAGTTTCTCAGTTTTTTAAGCTTTTTTTCAATATTAATTTCTAACTTTCTTTCTGTCAGAGCTGAGTGCTGTGCTCGTGGGATCAAACATCTCCCAGAAATATCTTGTTGGAA